CTCTGGGAGCAGGTGTGAGGCACAGCAGCACAGAGCCAAGGCAGCCTGTCACCTTTGCATGGGACATGGGACAGCATGGAGCTTGCCAATCTTGTGCCCCAAGTTGCCTCTCTCCAGTGGAAAGCTTGGTGAGATAATGGGCCCTAAGATAGCGGTGGCTACCTTCTTGGAGCACCTGATACTCAGAAAAACATGACTTTTGTAGTCCACAGTGGTGTCAAAAGTCTGGAACCTGGTATCCTGGCCAATCTGAATCCACTTCTACAGTGGTAAAATCTTAAGAAGCTCATTCTTAAGGAACCAGGAAAAAGTCTGTAACCTCAGACTCCTTGATGGGTAGAAAGAACAGGTGGATCTCCTTCAGGGAGTTGATCTTAATGTCTAAACCAGGCAACCCTAACTGGAGATGGGGGTCCATTCCTCATCTTGGACTTTCCGTACAGTGTTGTTTTTTTTTTTTTTTTTTTCTTTTATGTCAGCTTTTTTTCAGCTAGCATTTCTTCAGGGTTTCCCTGCAGTTTAGAATGTGTCAGAATGGTTTTTTTTCCTTGTGATTTTCTTTTTGTTTGTTTTGTTTTGAGAGAGGTTCTCTCTACTGAGTCCTGGCTGTCCTGGAACTTACTATGTAGACCAGGCTGGCCTTGAACTCAGAGATCCACCTGCCTCTGCCTTCCCATTGCAGGGATTAAAGGTGTACACCACCACCTACCTACTTGTATATCTTTCTCTTTCTTGTGGTTTCCTAACGTTCCCTGACCTAATTCAAGCCATCAGGCTTGCTTTGAAAGTGCTCTTTATCTGCAGAGCTAGCTTGCTGATCTCATCAAAAATTTCATTTGAGGCAGGGTCTTCCTATGTGGCCTGAAACTTGCTATGCAGACCAGGTTGCCCTCAAACTCAGAGATGTGCCTGCCTCTGCCTTTCTACTGCTGGGATTAAAGGCATATGCCACCTTGTCCCACCCATTTGAAATATTTTATCTGCCTCAGTTTTATCTTCTCTATTTACTTCTTCTAAGTATTTAATTTTTTTTATAGTTCTATTTTTTAGTGTTTTTTGCTGTTGTTGTTCACATAGGTTTGTCTCTAGGGAAGTATAAAAGCCTACCATCTCCTTTTAAGGTTCCAATGACAAATCCAAGTAGGATTCCTTCCAAGTTTGCCCTGGAGGGCCAATTAAGGTCACTGAGCTGTTTTACAGGTATGGGTGAGGGGTTGCTTTTGGAAGCACAAGTGACCCCTGAAGTTGCCAGACTGGAAAGTCTCCATTCAACTTGGACAGCCTTCCCATCCAGTTAACCTTCTCTAGACCTATAGGGTCCCAAACAAAACTCCACACAAACAGTTGGGAGCAGAGTGTGGAATCTAAGTGAGGCTCTTATGACTCTCCCCACCCATTCCTTTTCTTCGGGACAGTACACAGCCAACAGTCCTGCTGAGGATGGTCTCCTATAAGCAGAAACTTCTGATCTGTTTAAGATGGTGGCTTTTGCTCTGAAGACTGCGCCCCGCAACACCTGTTAATAATAGCTTCATTGTTTAAAAAAACAAAAACAAACAAACAAACACCATTCCAGCCAGGTGATGGTGGCACTCACTTTTAATCCCAGCACTTGGAAGGCCAAGACAGAGGGATCTCTGTGAGTTCAAGAGCAGGCTGGTTTACAAGGCAAGTTCCAGGGCAGCCAGGGCTGCACAGAGAAACCGTGTCTCTCAACAAAAGCAAAGGAAAAAAAAAAAAGTTCACATTTCTTTCCCTTCTGCAACATCACCTGCAGATAGGATCTGTTAATACGTTTATTTATTTATTCTTCGTCTGGAGACAGGATCTCAGTGTGCAGCCCTAGCTGGCCTGAGATCCACTATATAGACCAGGTTGGCCTGGAGCTCACAGAGATCTGCCTGCCTCTGCTTCTAGATGATGAGATTAAAGATAGGGGCACCCACACCCAGCCTTATTTATTTACTGAAACAAAGTCTTGGTATGTAGGCTAGGTTGGCCTAGAACCGGAAGTGGATTCTGTCTGTAGGCGTTGCTGACACTTTGGTTGATTAGATTTTACTTATTGTTATTATTATTGCTTTCTAAATTGTTATCATTATTGTTGTTGGTGGTGTGGGTGCAGATACACGGTGCTGGGGATTGAACACAAGGGCTTTCAACATGCTAGACAACAGCTACTTCATTTTTTTAAAAGATTTATTTATTTGTTAGTTATACAGAATTCTTCTTGCATATATGCCTACCCACCAGAAAAGGGCACCAGATCTCAATATATATGGTTATGAGCCACTGTGTGATTGCTGGGAATTGAACTCAGGACCTTTGGAAGAGCAGACAGTACTTTTAACTGCTGAGCCATCTCCCCAGTATTTTTTGTTGTTGTTGTTATTTAAGACATGATTTCTCTGTGTACATCAGGCTGGCCTTGAACTCAGAGATCTGCATCTTTCTTAACTGTGATTAAAATTTTAATTGTGATTAAAGTTTTTGGACACAGGAGCGCATGTTGGCAGATTTATAATCCCAATATTTTGGAGCAGGAGGCAGGAGGATTAGGAGTTCAAGACCAACATCAGTTACTTAGTAAATGTGAAGCCAGCCTGGGTTACAGGATGTCTCAAAAACATAGCAACAGCAGGAAGCAAGGATATGGCTCAGTGGGTAAAGGTGAGCCATCAAGCCTGATGACCTGAGGTTAATTTCCTGGACCCACACATATCGAAGGAGAGAACCAATCAGAGTGCAAGGAGAGAGCCAATTTCAACAAGTTGTCTTTTGATCCCCATTGTGTAGAAGTACACGTACAAATCACATAAAATTGGCTACAATGATTCAAGTCTGTAAGACAAAACGAGGCAAGAGGATCAAAGTTCAAGGTCATCCCAAGGATAGATACAGAATGAGGTCAGCCTGAGCAGTATGAGACCCTGTCACATTAAAAAAAAAAAAAAAATGCCAGGGACTGTCTCTGACATGAACTGATTGGCCTGTTCTTTAATCACCTCCCCCTGAGGCGGGAGCAGCCTTACCAGGCCACAGAAGAAGACAAGGCAGCCACTTCTCTCCTGATGAGACCTAATTGACTAGGATCAGAAGGATGGAAAAGAAGACCTTCCCTACCAGTGGACTTGGGGAGGGGCATGCGTGCAGAGGGAGGAAGGGAGGGATTGGGATGGGAGGAGGGAGTTCCATGGGGGGGGATACAAAGTGAATAAAGTGTAATTAATAAAAAATGGAAAAAAATGCTACTTGATGTTAACATTTACCAGCCCCTTCCCTCCTTTTCTTTCTTTCTGGGTTTTTTTGTTTTGTTTTGTTTCTCCAGGCTCACCACAGGCTCCCTTTGTAGCTGATGACCTTGATTTCCTGATCCTCCTGCCTCTATCTCCCTGGCTGGGATAACACCAGGCCTTTCCTGAGTCCATCTCTGAAGCAGAGAAGGGATATTAACAAGGGGAAGAGGAGAAAGCCTTCCCCAGGCTACCCCATAGCACAGAGGGAATGACTCTCATCCTTCCTCCCCTCCCCCAACTCTCACCCAGAGACTAGTCAGGAAAAGAAAGGGTCCTGGGGACCAGAATGTGCCCTTCACTTTGCCAGGACAATTATTTATCCAGAAGGGGTCAATGATTCATCCAGGGTCATCCACCAAGCTTTCCAGGCAGGGCTTGGATCCTGAGCTTGGGATACTAGTCAGCACCCTCATTCCCTGGGCCTTGCCTTCTGAAGCCACTGTCTAAATAAACTTAATTTGGAGAGCACGCCCTTTCAAGCCCAGCTCTTCGAAGTCTCTCCTCTTGACCCTTCCTCCAACGAAACACTGATTCGCCCCCCCCTCCAAAAAAAAATGCTGCCAGAGAAATTTGTGGTCACTCTGGAGATCAAAGAGGGAGTAGCTGAATTACTCATGACCACAGCTGAACCAGGATTCCCAGATAAAGGCAAAGGTTCACTAGGCCAACCTCTGCCCTCAGCCAACTGTTCCTCCCCGCCTAGCTTTCTTCTTTCCCAAGTCAGGAGAGGAGAAGTCCCTCTGCCGGGACCTTTCTTCTCTCCGTCTGGAATACGGATCCTTCAGGACAATGTGGGCACTAGAAGGTATAGAAGTCGTGTGCCAATCTCTGGTTACCCATTGCCCAGGCCCAGAAATGAGTAGTCCCTTTTCTAGATTTTGTCGCCCATCCCTCTTGAACTACATGTTAGATTACATTCCAGAGGCCACAGCTGGAGGGCTGAGTCTCTCCTTGGTCCTTTGGAGTCCAGGGGAGCAGCTGAGGAAGTTGTATTTCGGGCCTCAAACCAGGGCAGAAAGACAGAAGGTAACATTCGACAGACTCGCTCCTGATGCCACCTGATTTTGTCTACCCGGTACTCTTCTTGGAAGGACGTGGTACAGACAAAGAAAGGATGCCGCGGGACTAGGCCCTGGGTCCCCCAGCACAGAGGGATTCACCCATCAAACCAGCTAGTCCCTTCTCCTCTCCCCCGAGGCCCTCCGTTCGAGCTGCCAGGCTTCAGAGGCTCTCGGGGCGGGTTCCTTTGGTTTGTAGCTCACCACCGAGGAAGTTCCCACGTGACCCACGCTCTGCCGGGCACGTGGGACTGACCAGCCTTGGCATTGCCATCTGGCCCTATGTAGGCTCCTGATTGGTTTTCCTTTTATGAAACTTCTCGGCCCTCCGAACTTATCCAAGGGATGGTTGCGGGAAAGCCCTGTATTGTGCAGCAGAGTGGGTCTTGGGATTCCCCAGACAAAAACAAAAAGAGAACAAACTACAGGGGCCGTTCTTCGAGGGTGGGCGAGGAGGGCTGCAGTTCCCACGCGAAGGTGGCCCAGGACGCGGAGTCGCCACTTTCCTGCCTCTCCTCGCCCCGCCCCGCCCCGCCCCTCGGGGACCCAATCCTCCTCACCCCATAGGCAGAGCGACCCTCCCGCCTCCCCGCCCGCTTCTTCTTCACCCCCGCCCTGTTCGCTTTCAAAGTTTACTCCGGGCCGGGCCGGGCGGCGGAAGCGAGCCATGGCTGTCTACCTCGGGATGCTGCGCCTCGGGAGGCTGTATATCGCGAGCCTGGGGGCGCAGGGGGCCCGGACGCTGCTCTCTCGGCCCTGGCAGAACTCCAAGTTGCAGGGTGTCCGCGCTCTCAGGTACCCCGAGCAGCTCCCCGAAAAGAGAGGGGGCTGGGCAGTCCCGAGGAGAAGGGACTTTGGGAGTTCTGCAAAGCTTGGCAGGGGCTCACCCAACTCTGGGTGGCCCTCAGGCACACATTTGCTTTGCTGGCTAGAACTACTGCCCTCTGCGGCTGCTGCGGGAGTCCCAGATTGAGTTCAAACTCTAGTTCAGAATTCTCTATGCGTCCGAGGTGATACACAGGGCTTTTAATAGTACAGGGCTAAGTGCTGCCGGGACACTCTCTCAGCTGAATGCACTTCAGTGAGAAACTTGGGGACCGTTTGGGGTCCTGGGGTACTGAGTATAACAGAACCTTCTTCCCTCTGTTTTCTTTTCCTCCTCCTCTTCCCCCTCCCCCTCCTCCTCGCCCTCCTCTTCCCCCTCCTTCTCTTCCTCCTCCTTTTTTGTTTGTTTATTTTTCGAGACAGTTTTCTCGGTGTAGCCCTGGCTGTCCTGAAACTCACTCTGTAGACCAGGCTGGCCTCCAACTCACAGAGATCAGCCTGCCTCTGCCTTCAGAGCGCTGGGATTAAAGGCGGGTGCCGCTGCCACCACCCCAGGCCTCTTCCCTCTGTTTTCAATCATGGCCACTTACTTCTGGGCTTGTTTTCATCTGTCCTCAGCACCAGGGCTGGGAAGTGGGTAGGCAGGAGAGAGCTGATTGAATAAAGCTAATGTGCCTGGACCCTGAAGGGACTGCAGGGGATTGCCTTGGGAAAGGCCAGGCTGGGCGAGCTGTCTGTGCAATAATAATAGATCTCTGAAAACAAGGTTTAAAAGACACTGCTAGGGCCCTGTGGCGGTGGTGGCAAATGCTCTTAAGGCAGAGGGTAGGTGGCTTTCTGAGTCTGAGGCCAGCCCTGGCCTAGTGAGTGAGTACTAGGACAGCTAGGGCTACACAGAGAAACCCTGTCTCGAACCCCCTGCCCCCCAATAAAAAGACACTCCAGAGAAAAAGTTGGACAGACAAGTTGGAAGATGCCTTTTTGGGCTGGAACTCTCAGATTACAACCTTCTGAAAACTAGGAAGCAGGCAGTAGTGTGTTTGTGTGTGTGTGTGTGTGTGTGTGTGTGTGTGTGTGAGAGAGAGATATGCATGCTGAATCGGTGCTCTACCACTGATGAAGCCCCTCTGATGAACTTTAGCATCCCTTTGTCCCATTTCCTGAGGAGACCTTGGGGATCACGGTTGGCAGCAACTAGGACCCACTGGAGGGAGCTGGGTGCTTTTTAAGGGGGCTTCTCTCATGTCTCCCTATTGTCTCCTTAGGCCAAACTGACCCTCCCCCATTCCTAGTTTCCCTCTCACCTTTGAACTCCTGCAGTATTTCCCCCCAGGTTTTGAGTCCCCAGGTTTTGAGGACTCTGAAGAAAAGTTACTCCCCAAAATACATATATTTTATGATACTCAGTCAGAGACGGTGTTACACGATGGTGCTTCGATTCGTGTGTGCTTGTGTGTGGTTCATGTGGATGTGTTTATCTATGTACAGGTACACATGTGTGACCGTGAGCTTGGGTTTTAAGTGCAGGCCAGGAAGGCAACTGGTCAGTGTCGGGTGTTTTCCTTGAACTATGGCTACCTTACTATTTTGAGGTAGGGTCTTTGGCTGAGCCGGGGGGGGGGGGGGGGGGGAGGGCTCACTGATTTGCTTTGCTGGCTAGAACTACTGCCTGAACTGTTTCCCTAGCCCCAAACACTCCTGATCTTTGACATTTTCCTGTGTAAACAAAGCAGGTCACTTACTTGCCTCAGGGCCTGTGACCTCGGAGGGTTTCAGTGGCTGTCAGGCCTTAGAGAAACTGTCTAGAAGAGACTCGGTTATGGGGGGGGGGGGGACTGGACAAGATTTTCTGAGCATCTGGCCCGGCTTCTTCCCATTCCTCTCGTGTTTGAATCCTTCCTTGCTGATTGCGGGGACTTTTATCTGGTTCATCCTCTGCTCTCCTTTGCAGATGCCTCCCCCTCCCCCCCTCAGGCATCTCAAACATTCAGCACACATCTTTAAGGACACTCACTGTTTCAAGCACCTAGGCCACACAGAGCACTCAGACCCGAACTGGTGGAAGGATGGAAGGAATTAGGGGGAGCACTCAGCGGTGTTCCCGGCATGATGATCTGAGAAGCTGCTGTCCTTCACTCTCTCTGATTATAGGCTTTGTTTGCTGCCGCCCAGCACACTAGGTCAGTCACTCCAGGCCGGTGTTTGGGTTTTCTTTGTGGTTTTGAGGCAGGGTCTTGGGATGTAACCGAGGCTGACCTGCAACTTGAAGCTATTAATCTTCCTGCCTCGGCCTCTGGAACCATGAAATTACAGGCATGTACCGCCGTGCCCGGCTCTGATTGCAGGTTTTGCTAAACAGGAAAGAACAAGAATTTGCAGCTAGCCTGTCTTGAGAGACACCCCGGGCTCCTCTGCACAGGTGATGCCCCAGGGGCACATTACCTAATCTCTGAGTGTGGTTAGTTTGTTGCTAATGAATTCTTTCCTGCTGGCTTGCTGTGGGTGGGAGAGGCAGAAACTGGCTATTCCTTTCAGCCTTTCCTTTGAGGTGGGGCTGACCCTAGGTGGCTAAGATTTAGACTGATCTGTTTGGATTTTAGCAATCCATCAAAGGGTGAGTGTATTGAACCAGGCCCCACCCCTGACAACTGGGGCTCTGTACAATGGCCTGGGGGGGGGGGGGAGCTTGCAGCATGGGTGCCTGAACCCTAAGTGTTCCAGGCTTTAGAAATGTCTCCTGTCATTTTTCTTCTCTCTCTCTCTCTTCCTCCTTCCCTCTTTCTCTGTCGCTTTCTTTCTCCCTCCCTCCCCTCCCTCTCTTCTTCTCTCTCTCTCCCTCCCTCCCTCTCCTCCTTCCTTCCTTCTCTCTGTCCCCTCCCTCCCTTCCTCCTTCTCTCTCTCTTCCTTTCTTTCTTTTCTGGTAGTACTAGGAATCAAACCCAGACTCTTGTACATGTTTTTGCAAAGGACATCCTCTGCTGACTCTTTGTAGGAAGTTTGTCACACTCATATAATGACTTCCCACGCACTTTCTCTTTGTCCCCATAAAGGCACGTCTACCAGCGATTCCGTTTAGGATGCTGAAAGTGAGTCCTCCACCAGTGGAGGACTGCATTCAAAATCTTTATTGTGGTTCTCACCCCTAAGTAGTTCTTTGTAGTCTGCTTCCTTCCTAGGCCGTGGGTTCCTTCAGGGAGGTTATATTGAGTGATCATAGGACTTTATGGTATAATTACATATGGTAAATTGCACAGATCTTAAACGTATTGCTCAGTGAATTTTAATGGTTTGTTTTCTATTGCCGCAACTGAATGCCAGAGAACAGAGCAATTTGTAAGCTTTCCCTTCAGAGTTCATTTAGCTCAGAGTTCTGCAGGCTAGGAGGCCAAGAGCATGGTGCCAGGTTCTGCTTGGCACTGGCGAGGGCCGTCCTGCTGGGTCATGACATGGTCCAGTGTGCATCAGGTGGTGAGGCACAGAAAACGTGCCAGGAAGAGCCCTTTCGTAGCAGAGTTGCTCCCTCTATAACCCATTAATCCACGAAAGCATGGATGGATTACTCCTCCGTTCCCATGTGCAGAAGTGTGCATGATTCAAGGTTACAGTCTAAGAACCATTAATGCATGAATTTGGAGAATCATTCAAACTCATAGCAATGCTTTCCAAGTTACAGAAGTTTTTTTTTCCTCTTCTTATCCTTCCTTTCCTGCTGTTCTACTTTATTTAATGATTTCTAAAAACTTACTTTTATGCACATGGATGTCTTGCTTGTACGTAGCTCTGTGCATCACATGTTTGCCTGGAAACCTCAGAGGACAGAAGAGGGCATCAGAGCCTCTGGAGCTATAATTCAAGATGGTTGTGAGCCACAGTGTGGGTGCTGGGAACTGAGTGCTTTGGAATAGTAGCCAATACTTTTTTATTTTATTTTTTTAATGTGGCTCTCTACGTATTTGTTATAAATTAGGATATGCTCTCCCCAGAGGGAATCCAAGGAGGAAAAGCAGTCCTATGGCCCTAGGGACAGAGCAGGGTAGCCTAGAGCAGAGTCCTGGGTATGGCTGGTCCTTGGACAGCTCCCACCTCTTCATAGGAGGAGCAGGTGTGGCTGCCTTCTCAGTGGCTGGCACAGCAGAGTTTGCAGGCATCTTGCCCGACACCGGGGCCTTTTGTGAGGCACAACTTCCCGATGGCCATAATAACGAGTGTAGTAGTAATTGGTGGACGGCTTATGCCTGGGGCTCACGAGGAGTTTAGGAGGTGGCTGGGTCCCACTTGGCCATCTCTGGCCGCAGCTGCAGCATCGCCTGCAGGTCACACCCAGGCACCCAGTTCCATGGCCTCTGGGTTGAGCGAATAGTGGCCGCCATGTTTCCTTTGCTCCGAATCGAGCAGCCAATACTTTTAATCATTAAAATATCTCTTTAGCTCCTCGATCTATCTATCTATCTATCTATCTATCTATCTATCTATCTATCTATCT